ATTCGGTCGGAGTGTATGCTCAGAGAGAGGAGACCAAGGCTTTGTGACTTTGAACTTGTCCTCCCCACCTGAGGGACCTACGGCTGTCATCAGCGCCGTCGACAGTATCATGCGTGTTGTTGGAAGATTGCACAACGCCTCCTGCCCGGGTACCGAAAACGAGTCCGAGTTCTCGGAAAACAATGGCTTGATCTTCATCCCTCGCCTCATGCCTACTACTCATATGGATCAAGCCCTTTTGACTAAGCAGAGTGGCTACAGGCTCAAGTCATTCACATTCAACGGAGATGGTCCGAGGCCGCATATCAGTATCACTATCGAAACCCCTGGGCTTCTTGACACCATCTTTTACGCAGAGAACTCCGAGGCGGGTAAGGAGCTCCAGGCAGGCGACGTTGAGATCGAAGTCAAGGCGACCAGTATGAACTTCAAGGATGTCATGATCGCTCTGGGGCAGATTCCCGGGCGAAGCTTTGGGTTTGATGGCGCCGGAGTGGTCTCTAAAGTCTCGCGAGAGAGTAAACTTCGCCCGGGCGACTCCGTGCTGTTCTGCAGCTCGACCGGAGGAGGCTTCGGAACATTTGTGCGCTGCCCTGAACTGCAAACAGAGAAGCTTCCTGTAGGCATGTCTTTCCAAGTGGCTGCAGCAATTCCGGCTGTGTGGTCCACAGTGGTGTATTCTCTCGACCACATTGCACGTCTCGGCCGTGGTGAGACTGTCCTCATCCACGCAGCTGCAGGGGGTGTCGGACAGGCAGCTGTGCAACTCGCTCAGTTGCGGGGCGCCAAAATCTTTGCAACCGTGGGAAGCCAGGCAAAGCGTGAGCTTGTCAAGCAGCTCTTTGGGCTTTCAGAGGATCAAGTATTCAACAGCCGTGATGAAACTTTTGCTCAAGATGTGCTTCACGCCACGGGAGGTCGAGGTGTGGATGTGGTGCTCAACTCACTAGGCGGCGAGCTCCTTCGTCAGTCCTGGGAATGTATCGCACCCTTTGGCCGCTTCATTGACATTGGCAAAGCGGACATCATCGCTAACAATACTCTTCCGATGGGTCCATTCAACCGAAATGTGACATTCTCTGCAGTTGATCTAGTCGTGGTTCATGAAGAGGCAAAGCCCCTTATGAAGAAGATCCTGCAGGACGTTACGAGGTTGTTCGAGGAGAATTCCCACCTCCACGAGCCCAAGCCCCTTCACATATTCTCGCCTTCCAAGCTCGAGGACGCAATGCGTTTCCTCCAGGGCGGCAAGAATACCGGCAAAGTCATCATCGACTACGCTTCCGCGACCGATACAGTTGAGTACCGACCTTCGCAGCTTCAGCACGGGTACAACTTCGAGGCGAACGCTACGTACGTCATTAGCGGTGGTTTGGGTGGACTTGGTCGTGAGATCGCACGGTGGATGGTCTCGCGCGGGGCTCGGAATTTGCTTCTTCTCTCCTCACGCGGTGCCGCAGGAAGGCCAGACGCTCTCAAGCTTATTGAAGAACTCGAGGCCACTCATGGAGTCACAGTGCTCGCGCCGGCATGTAACATTGTCGACCGGAGAGCAGTTGAGGATACCCTCCTGAAGGCATCGCGAGAGCTTCCACCGATCAAGGGCTGCATACAGGCCGCCATGGTTCTCCGCGATGACATGCTTGTCAAGATGTCTCATTCGATGTTCCATGAGACTCTCGGTCCTAAGCGCGCCGGATCATGGAATCTGCACCAGCTCCTACCCGACGACATGGACTTTTTTGTCTTGCTCTCATCATTCTGCGGCATCATGGGCAATCGCGGTCAGAGCAATTATGCAGCTGGAAACGCATTCGAAGATGCTCTCGCGCGCCATCGAGTGGCACAGGGCCTCAAGGGCGTCTCAGTCGACTTGGTACTCGTCGCCGAGGCGGGTTGGGCCAATGTCAACTATGAGTCTGTGACACAGAGCCTCCGCGCCGGTCATGACAATCTCACACAGGCACAGCTGATGGAGTTGCTTGACCTGCTCTGCGACCCAGGCTACGACTGCGCAAAGCCTGGGGCAGCCCAGGTCGTCAACATGGTGGATAGCGCGGCGGACCTGGCGCGCATGACACGGCAAGGTCTCTTGGATTGGATGCAGAAACCCATGTTCAATAATCTTCTCCGTATGGGCGAGACCGAGGATAGTGGCACTGGCCGTGGAACTGGTGGAGGCAGTGGTGATGGAAGCGACGACGTCAATCGCCTAGCTCTGGTGAAGGCAGCGCCTGACCTATCGACTGCCAGCGAGATCGTGACGCAGGGTCTCGTCCAAAAGCTGGCCAAGTCTCTGTCTGTGCCGATTGAGACCCTTGATGTTGGAAAACCAGCGTACGTTGTGGGTGTTGATTCCTTGATTGCGGTCGAGGTTCGGTACTGGTTCATGAAGCAGCTCCTTGTCGAGGTGCCCGTGTTTGAAATTCTCAAGAACCAGAGTATCATAGATTTGTGTCAGCAGGTGGCTTCCAAGGTCTTGCAAAGCAGCTCGAAGTAGACATGTGTGTTTCGAGATAGTTGAATGGGGTGAGAGTAATGGCTGCCGACTCAATTCAATCTCATACCTCTTCCGATAATCTTAATTGACATGTACTCACCTCAATCATCTTTCTTAGTGAACGTGGAAAGAGAATTCAACACACTTTCTGAGTCGCAACGCTGGCTCCTCACAGCCAGTTTGGCAGTAGCCAACTTGAGATCCTGGATATACGGCCAATTCTGAGAGCTTCCCGTTCTCAATGAGGATTGGTCAAAGACGGCAAAGTAAGACGACGATGTGACCTTCCTAATTAGGTGCTGGGGACCACTGGGATACTCATGGTCCTACTACGCCGCGAAGGATCACCAGTCGCCTCATAAAAGACAGGTTTGATCTCATATTGCGACTGAGACTTAAGACGCCAATTGACTAAAGCTCAATCGAAACTTGCGACAGAACTCAATTGACATAGCCAATATGACACGACGTCTCATCGAACGACCAGCCCAGATCTATTCTGCGTCTTTGGGTGGCTCATTCAGGCCAACCTACGCCGACGCGGTTTCCGAACTGCCTGTTAGCATCTCCAAGAAAACAACTCTCACTATCATCACAACCTCCCTTCTCATCCCCGGCGACGGCGAACCCATCAAAGATGCCGCTCTCGTCATATCATCAAAGCTGATCGCCTGGGTCGGCCCGCAATCGGCAATCCCTAGAGAGTACACCGAATCTCCTCACAAGTCCTACTCCACCCCATACCTGATGCCCGGTCTCTGGGACTGTCACGCTCACTTTGGCGGAGAGCCCCCCGACGCAGGATCCAGCGGCGATCCATACCAGGTCTTCATCACTGAACACCCCGCTGCATCCGGCGCCCGTCTCACGCGAATGTGTTGGCTGGCTCTACAGAGGGGATACACATCCCTCCGCGATGTGGCAGGCATGGGCTGCGAGATCTCCCGCGCCATCGAGGACGGCACAATCGTGGGACCCAATGTCTACAGCTCCGGCGCGTGCATCAGCCAGCTGGCTGGCCACGGTGACATCTTCTCTCTCCCGGCTGGAGATGTGCTGCTGAACCTAGGTGTGTCGCAAGTCACTGCAGGACACTTTGGCACTGCGACAAGCATGATTGTGGATGGTGTTGATGAGTGTCGCCGTGCCGTCCGGTTGCAGATTCGGCGGGGGGCAAAGTGCATCAAGGTCATGGCTTCCGGCGGCGTGATGTCTCGTGACGATAACCCGCTTTACGCGCAGTTCAGTCCCGCGGAACTCGAGACCATTGTGGAAGAGGCAAACAGGCAGAATCGCGTGGTCGCGGCGCACGTTCATGGTAAACCCGGCATCATGGCCGCCATCAAGGCTGGCGTCACAACATTGGAACATGTCTCCTTTGCCGACCGCGAGTGTATCGACCTGATCAAGGAAAAGGGCATCATCTATATCGCCACGCGCCTCGTGATGGACTTGCTACTCGGCACCGGAGGGAAAGGAATTCCTCCTACAGCTTGGGAAAAGGTGAAGCTGTGTGCCACGAACCACTTGGTCGCATACAAGATGGCCATCGAGGCTGGTATCCCGATTGCTTTAGGAACAGATACAGGACCCGGGTTCAACATGGCGATGGAATTGGAGGCTGCCGTGAAGGCTGGGATGAGCAACTTAGAGGCCATCAAAGCGGCGACCGCGAATGGACCACTCAGCGTCGGTGGGCAAGCGCCCAAGACAGGACAGCTGAAGGCTGGATATGAAGCAGATGTTCTTGGTTTGTTGGAGAACCCGGTGGAAGACGTCAGGGTGCTGCAAAAGATTGAGAATGTCGCATGGGTCTGGAAAGGAGGTTCTCTCTTCAAGGGGCCTGGTGTTGGACCCTGGGGCGAGGATCCCAGTCCCCTTGACGAATGGTCTGCTGCTACGTACATTCGTTCATAGTGCCCCGATAATGCCTTCTTTAGCTTTCTCATGATCTCCGTTCTTTTGCTCCATCGTGAAGGTGGCAGACTCTTGGTTGCGTGTGCTGATGTGTATACTAATTATTTCGAAATTTCCTCACAAAGACGGGTTGGTCTTGGTCGAGTTCACCGTCAGTTTCCTCATGGCTGACTTTAGTTGAAACCCGCGGAGGAACCCTCCAGAAGATTTCCAGCATTGTACGAGTTGTTGAGTTGTGATATGGTCTTTGATCTTCCCAGCCTGTAACCCAAGCAGCTTTCAGGCCGAACCTGAGCCTCTGATAACGACGAATATCCACGTCTAAAGACCCCCAAAACTTTGACATCGAGACAAAGGCATCACCAGCTTCAGCTTGTCGCTCATCTCATACAGGGCTGTTCCCGAAGCCATGATCCAATGCGATACCTCCCCCAAGAGGGTGCACTAATGCCGAGTTTAAAGGGCCTCATCTTCGCCCATCTGGGTAATATCGTCTTCTTCCTCATCTCAACCCCATCCAAGATTCTCACTTTCACTCTCACCAAAGAATCGCTCATCCAGAATTCAAAGTTCCTCGTCCAGCATGTCCACACAAAGAGAGGATACTCAAGGAGGCCTCGACATCTATCCCGCGAGCTACTTCATGCCTATCCGCCGCGGCGGCAAACGCCCGATCAAAGTCGTAGGCTACACACTCAGAGCGCTCGCCGAAACCTGCCGCAACGAAGAGAGATACAATGCCGCCCGCGAAGCTCTCATGAGCATCATTCACGTCCTTGAGGAAGAAATCGAGATGCTCGGAGTCGAGTCGTCTACCAGAAGACCATCTGAGCAGAGATACCTCAACGGCTTGGAGGATGCCTTGTCTACCGTCATTGGCGTTCTCAACTATTGCATCGTCAAGCCGGCATCTTCCTCTTCCCCGAAAGCTCATGTAGAGACGTCGCAACAGCTTCATCGCCCTTCGCGTCCCCCCGGGGCGAAGACTCTCGCAGAGGTGTACGCTAGCCGCCCGCTTCTAAGTCTGGAAAGCCTAGGACAGACCTCCGATGATGTCAAAGGCAAGGGACCGATGACACCCGATAGAATCGACATCCGCCAGGTAGAAAGTGCCGCTCGCTGGCTGGACTTCATCGTCGGCGAGGAGTATCGTATCCCACCGAGAAACTCACCCCATGGCATCTCCTCGACCGAAAGCGACGGCTCGGGCATCAGCACCCCCTCGACTACAAGCAGCGGCTCCTCGGCCCAGAACGTCCTGTCGTTCCCCTCCAGCCAGGATACCGAGAGATTCGTCCACGCCGAAGAGAACCAACTGACCCCTGATGCTTTGGAACTCATCCGCGGTATCGACACCATCCAGATCCTGTTCCAGTACGAGCGACAATGCCGTATCTCGGAGCGCAGAATCGCGGCGGAGCTGATCAAGTCGAACGTCCTCCGCCGGGCCATCTTCAAGGACCGCATCGGCCGCATGCCCAACTTCGAATACGCAAACTGCAAAGGCAAGGAGGATGCTGAGGATGGCATCAATGATCCGTTCTTTGGTCAGACGATGTATGAGAAGGCTGTGGGACAGGTGAAGGCTCTCTTCCGGCGCTGGGGTGCTACAGCCTGGCATGATGACACCGAGACGGAGGCGGATACGGAGACAGATATCGATAGTGACCTTAAGGAAGCAAGCCCGCAAGCTGTCGGAGAGCATACTGGCTCGACTAGTGAGAGTCTCATGGAAGAGGGCGACTATCTCGAGCCCAGCCTCGCATGCCTCAACCCGTATTCGGATCTCTCATTTCCAACGGTGCCGAACCCTTCGTACCAGCTTAAATACCAGGGAACAGAAGCTTGTGTGCCAAAACTACACGTCCCCGTTTACCAGGGCTTGTTCATGACATCGCCGGACTTGACGCCGAAATGTGGAAGCTCAGATGATACATCCAACCCTCTTTCGTCCTCCGAATACCGTCCGCTGCCCAGTCAATCGGATCTTATTGTAGAAGCAAACAGCCCCGAGGACGTCTGGGATCTACTCTCATCTTCCCAAGACTCGCTGCCGATAGTTGAACAGATGCCCGCTTCCAGGGAACGAGAACGCCTCGAGCACCGCAAGTCGCCCTTCCTTCAATATTATGGCTTGCACTTCCCAAAGACTAATCTCGGAGAAGCCAGTCATGGGGCACCACTCGCGGCCTCGCGCACGAGTACGCATGGTTCCCAGGGAACGTCAGCAGAGCCAGATTGTCCTGCAAGTCCCGCAGGTCCTTCGCCTCCTTTCGAACCCTGGACTGTCGTGTGTCAATGCAAGGGATGTCAGGACCGGGCTTCTCGCGATCAGGTTTGAACAATATCATGTTAATTTTGGGGGGGGTATCAAATTTCGTATGCATTTGGACTAGGTTGTTGGATGCTACTTTGGTTTCTAGACTTTGGGGGGTTGTTAGTCGAATGTTTCTCCTTTTTCTTTTCAAGAATGCGATAGACTGATTACTCACGAAGCATGGCCATGACTGCTCCCTCTGCACCAATCCTCCTTTTTACCGTGAAGTGCCCCTCAACGCCATACCGGGCTTCCGCATCCCTCAACCTTGCCTCCGTATCTTCACCCAGCGTTTATGCAATGGTCTCCGTCTCCATATCTCTCTCCTCGGGCTTCTCGGCAGTCTCTTCAACATCTGTACCAAGAAAAGTCAGCTTCAGTCGTTCCTTACTTCCTTCGTCTCATTCCGCCCCAAAACCGTGTCCACAGAAGCACGGAGAGCACTCACCCTGCATGACAACCTCCCCCTCAGCCTCCATCTTCCTCCTCATCGCATGGGCAATCTTCTTCTCCATCTTCTTGGCCTTCTTCTTGCTCATGGGGGCGTTAGGTCCGCTGGTGGCCATCAAGCCGGGTCTCGCGCCGCGCATGGTATCCGTCCTCGCAATCTTGTGCTTGTTCGCCTCGGACTTCTTGCGGCGGGCAATCTTGGCGCCGAGGGCCTTGTTGGCCAGGCGGTTCTTGGAGGGACCGTTGGGGTTCTTGACGGACGGCATGGTGGCGGTGGTGTTTGGTGTCGTCAAAAGCGTTGGCTTATTCGACGTAGGGAGAGAGGAGGGACGGTGTCGAAGACGGAATGGCAAAACTGAGCAGCGGATGAAATGCGATTGACTGTCGCTCTGGGATTTTTTTAAGCGGGGCACGAGGCGGGTTGCCCGCAGGTTCGGGGTCCAGGCCCGCCCCGCTTGCCCCTCGCCGACCCCACGCGCCTCACCGAGGTCGGTGTGCATCAAGGTGAAGCTTGACCTGGACATACCTTAGTACATAGAAACGGATCTGTAGCAGCATGCCGCTCGGCTATTTGGCAGGCCATGGAAGATTACATCAGGATACACTAAACGGCTTGTTGATGCATTACGGTATTTCTATCTGCCATATCTACTCAATAAACTGTATATCGTGGTAGATCCGAGCAAATCAAGGTTCAAGATGTCAAACTGCAAATCGAGATTCTTGTCCTATTGAGACGCTTTCCTGCCCATGAAATGTGCTGCAACCTGGATCCAAACGCCGAACCTGAAATGCGATATGCCCTTCCTATCTATTCAACCAACGCCAATGAAGACTCCTCTTTTACATTCATCATCGCGCCACTCTGTCGCTATTCTTGCCAATGGTACTAGGACTGCTAGGGCTTCCCTCGTCATCCGCATCGTCCTTCAGGCCTTTGCGGGCCTCATCGTCGTCGTCGTCGCTCATCAGGCCCTCGAGCTCGAATTCCTCAGCATCGCGCACTTGACGAGTTTCGCCGGGGCGGCCGTTGGCCAGGGGCACGCCGTTTGCCAGGTTGACCTTGCCTTCTGTGTTGGTGTTACGATCGAAGAGGTGGATAAGCATCATGGTGAAGAGGAAGAGCAGAAATGCGAAGGAGTAGAGGATAAGGATATACGACACGTGGTCGAGGCCAGAGTTGGCGACAAGCTCCATCTGCTCCTCAGTGGCACCCATGAAGAGGAAACCAGAAGCGTACAAAAGCTAGGAGACATTAGAGGGTATTTAAACACAGAGTTTTTGGGTGACAATGACTTACGAAGACAGGGATGAATTGCCAGCTGTTGGTTTGGCGTCCATCAGCAGAGACACCAACGCCATCCTTGACAACGAAGGCAACCTCAATGACACGGGTAATGCCCACACCCATCAAGGTCTTGCCAAACATGCTGTGGGTCATGGCGCTGATGGGAAGGTCTTGGGGATGCGCAGACATGGCCCATCCAGTGACACCAATGACGAAGCCCGGAATGAAGTTGCGTTTGGGGTTTCCGTCGCGGTCCCGACTGAGCCAGATACCAACAAGACCAGCACACCACCAAATAATACCCATGGTTGTGTGTTGCCAGTCGTTCCTGACCCATTCCGTGCCCCATCGATGCTCGGTAAAGGTGTTCACGCAGCCCCATGCCGCAATAACAATGCTGTCAAAGAATTCCTGGGATCGGCCACTGCGTCGCACCCACAGCTGTCCAACAAGGAGAAGCAGGGTCAAGATGATTCCGTAAGCAATGAAAGCGCTACCCATGATGAAATGCGCCAAACACTGGCCGAGGTGGTCGCCCTGGCAGAAACCCAGCGAGGTAATGCCACCAAACAAGAATTGTGTCCAAGCCAAAACTGGTGAAGCCTTGCCCAAGATGCTGTGGGCAGGCTTGATGAAGCGGCGGATGCGACCGTTGATACCCTTCTCGAGATGCAGCCTGAGGTAGATACCCAAGCCGACCTGAGAGGCCATGATGATCATAAGCCAGTTGGCGAAGGAGGCATGGACATTATGGGCAACGAATTGTCTTCCTCCATGCATGTGGCCGAGGAAATATCCAACGATGGCGAGAGCGGAGCCGAGGACTTGAGTCGGAACATGCCAGCGATTCTTGGTCATCTAAAGGGAGGTAATTGTTAGCAACTCTTGGGAAGTCCAAAAGTTGAAGACTGGGTAGAGTCGACACTTACTCCCAAGACCATACCGACGGGGAAGATGACCCCGAAGGCCAGCATCATGATGAAGATGTGAATCCATAGTATTGTGTCCTGCAATTGTCGTCAGTTAGCATTTCTGTCCTTTTTGTTTCTCGTGTTTCTCGGAGGTGTTTCAAGAGGTCGGGTGGTTTTTCTTGAAGGCAGTCTGCCAGCAGTACTGTCGTTCAGTGAGAGGTGGTGATGGTCGCTTACGATGGGTTCCTGCGAGACGGTCTCGCCCTCTTGGATGTGGCTGACGCCGTGTTCGTGACCGAGAGCCATGGGGAGCGATGTGAGGATGTATGCAGCAGCAGCGAGTTTCTTGAAGGAGGAGAAAGACTTGAGCGGCAACGAGGCCGTAAAAGAGTCGAGCCGCGCCATGACGGGCGTTTCGAAATAGCAGAAGCGTCCCCTGTGCTGCTGGGCCTGGAGTGCTGGGCTTGTCGGGGCGCGCTGGAGCCAGACGTGTCACAGACTTGAGCCTGCTGGAGTGTTTGGAGCGGGGCGGGCTTGAGGATGTCGCAATGCAATTGGCGAGGTTCGGACGAAGCGTCGAGGATGGTGAGGTAAGGTAAGGTAAGCAACAATAGGGACCGGATGAGACGAGACGGGTGGGCGGTAAGGTACGCTGTAGAGCAAGCGAATGCCTACGGTGGAGTTGTAGCGTAGCGGTACTGGTGCAATGAGGCGCGTGGGGACGGTCGCGGGAAGGGGTCTGAGGGTTTCGATCGGTCGGTCGGTCGGTTAGGCCAAGGCTTGAAAGGTCGGTCGTTGTCGTAACCTTGGGTTAGGACAAGGTAAGGTTGGTGTGGGAGGGGAGGGAGGGAGAAGCTATCTTGGGACGGCGACGGGACCCTTGGACGCAGGCAGTCCTCCTCTCCTAAGGTGGTGTTTGTCGGACGGAGAGGTTTTTGGTGGCGATATGTCGTGCAAATAGAGATATGTAGGATGCAAAAGAGAGAATTGCGAAAGAAGAATGAGGCTCACGGCTGGGCTTGAAAGAAAAGGAGAGACAAGCGCCAAATTGGAAAAGACCCGGTCGTCGTGTCCATTAGATTGTGGCTTCGCTGATGGACCGGACACTGACAGAGCCGACCTGGACGGCCTACCTTACCTTACCTTGCGCATACCAACGTATTTCGTACCTGCGAATACATGGAGACGAGCCGGAGGCTTCGGTAACGCCCATATTGCAGAGTGGGGTCTATTGTTAAGGTATCTTTACACACATATCTGGTAGAGGTGTACTTTGCCGGGGAATCCGTCACCCAAACTGCCCGCCCGTAGTGATGGGAGTGGAAGGGGCAACATTGACCAGTCCAGAGGCCTGGGCAGATTACGCGGGGATGATGCAAAGTACTCTGTCGTGTTAATTTGTACGGCGTTCTACATTCTATTTCTCACTGTCCAATTGAGCAGTTGTTGACTGCCTTACAGGTACCTGCCATCTGTTGCTGTTGCTGTTGCTGTTGCTGTTGCTGTTGCTGTTGCAGTGCTTGTGACTTGTCCGCTCCTTCTCTGCGACTCTGGGAATCTGCAGATGGGACCCGGAAGTGCAGGTGGCAGCAGCTCCCTCCTGCCCTGCACGTTCCCCATCCCATCCAGGTCCTTCCCATTCGTCAGCCAAGTACGTATTGCACTTTCCCATCGAGGCATAACAGCAATGAGCGCATTTCCATTGGCCGAGACAGGCATTTACCCCCTCTCTTCAGTGGACCCTCTCAGAAATGCCCAGCAAAGAAAAAAGTTATTCGCCCATTTTTTTTCTTTCTCCGTCGCCGACTTTCCGTTCCAGGTTCGCCGGTTCGCCCGCAACGGCACAACGGGCATCAATCAGCACAATTCACCCGCACTGCACTCATGCTCATCTTCACACCTCAGAAGTACTGCGTACGGTACCCCCTCATCTTAGTCAATGACTTACTCAGTCGCCAATGTACCTGTCACGATGCTGTAGTCAGAAACGTCTCACGACTCGCGATCAAGACTCAAGATAACCATAAAGAAACTCACCAGAGGACAGAGTTGCCAATTTGACAGAAGACCTCCCAAGAACACTGCCCCAATGCCAAATGTCCTCTTCTCCCCCTGCCAAGCTATCATTCTGAACCCGGCCCGCCTAGCAACCTCGGCCATGCCACGCTCAAGAGCTAAGATGCTGCAAAAATGCCCGTCAAGTCACTGTCACTCTCATCTCGGTCTCTCCCTTCCAAGTCCAGGCTTGTTCACCCCCTAAGCAATATGCATCGTGGCCCAAGCAAGCCAAGCTTTCCATTTCTTTTACCGCTTGCCAATGCTTGAGCTGATGTCAAATTTGAGCTTGGCCGGGAGCTGCCCCTCAATGAGAAATT